GCGGACACGCTGCTGCAACACTTAGGTAACTTTATCCGCTAGTTGCTGTTAAAATCAAGTACTGGGACTTGTGAATGACTCGAGAAGTTCAGGTTGGCAGTATTAGTTCGATTGGATTTCTGCTCGAAATGGATAGGTACATGAAATGAAGAAAAAGACAAGTCTAAGCCCTTCGCTAAGTAACCTTTCGCTGGCGATAACGACGCTAAATGAACTCTTTTGCCCATCAGATGTCAGATGATAATTAGGAGAGGAAGAAAAGACAGGATGCGCAATCGCTTCCGGGAACGCCATGCAATGAGAAAATTTCGCAACAACAAATCAAGTAGTCGGTCGGTCGTAAATGGTGGTCATGCTGGAAAAGTGAAGCCGCGAATTATGTGAAAACAATGATGCAAGAGGTTGACATGGTTGTCCTCGTAATGGAACGGATTACCAGGCGGCGTGGCCACCGTCCATGCGGAGATCGCTTCCAGTCATGAAGCTGCTGGCGTCGCTGAGAAGGAAGACAGCGGCGCCACGGTACTCCTCGGGGGCAGACAGGCGGCCGAGCATGTTGTGCTTGGGCCACTCCTCGCGGCGCTCGGGGAACTGGATGAAGAGCTGCTCAACCATGGCAGTGACGATGTAGCCGGGGGAGATGGTGTTGACACGGATGTTGTACTGACCCCACTCAGCGGCGAGGTTGCGGGCGAGTTGGATGACGGCAGCTTTGCTAGCGTTGTAGGCAGAGCAGATGAGGCCCTATGAGCGGAGAGAAATGTTAGCGTGGCTGCGACTCGGATAATAACCAGTGATAGGGCAAAAGCGGGGGATTCCCATGCGGGGAAAGGGAAGTGTGACATCGAGAGAAAGATAGAACATACGCGATTGGCAATGGTACCGCTCATGCTGGCAATTAGTGCGATGCTTCCTCCGTTTCCGAAACGGATCATCTGCTTTGCGACGGCTTGGGCAGTCATCATGACACCGGTGACGTTGACCTCGAACATTCTGTTGGCATCCTGCGATGTGTATTCCAAGGCGGGGGTCTCCTGCTGGATACCGGCGGCGGCAACCAGACCGTCCATACGACCTTCGGCGTTGGCGATCGCCTCAACAGTGCTGTGCAGGAGCTCGGTGTCGCGGACATCGATGCGACGGTACTGGAAGTCGGTGCCGAGCTCTTCTTTGGCACGCTTCTGGATGTTGAAGAATTCAGGAGACTGTTGCGGCCATGTGTTAACTCAAAACCCTGGTAACACCGGGTCCAAGTGAAACTTACGGGTTCCTCAAGGCGGTCCAGAGCATAGACACGGGCACCGGCTTCGAGCAGAGCCTCAGCCTGGGTCAAGCCGAGTCCACGGGCAGCGCCAGAGACAAGGACGACCTTTCCGGCCAGGCTGAACTCGGACATGCGGCCCTTGGTACCGACGGCGGCAGCCTCCTGCTTGACAGGAACGACGGGAGTAGAGGTGGTTTCGATGGAGACAGACATGGCTGTGATGTGAGGTGTATGTGAGAAGTGTTGAGTTTATTAGGACCAAAGAGAAGAGGCCTCGGGGTATAAGTGTTAAGAGAGTATGCAAACGGTCAATGCGGAGTTGACGAGAGTGAGAAAGTTGATTGATGATGGCAAGAACATTTCTGGAGCGGACTGGAAGTCGGACTTTATAGCCGACTCACGATGCCTCGATGCGGGAGTCACCCCTCAAGGGGTGAATCTGGTTTGGGGAAATCATGGGAGCTCATGTGAACAGACAGAATCTGGACAAAGACTGTGAGGGTTCGGGTCCAGACTCCAGGCCCGGGGAATGACAGAGCCGGCTCCACTCAAGGTCACTCGACCAGATTGTATGTACAATGCACCTTGCTACCCCGTAGATCAAACACAAGCAATTCCTGTGGGACAAACGCAGTCCGTGAATTGTTCTTGAATGCCTATTCAATCATCAATTCAGATTGGCTCCGTGAATGAAAGACTCTGTTCCCCTCCAACATCAATTCACGTTGTGTTTCAAAAAGCAGCGCTAAGAATCAGTTTGTGATGGCTTAGAATTAGACCTGGTAATGAAAGCATCATCATTATTTCATCCGCCGTAACGAGGCCGAGTTCCGTAAGCTGGGAGGCCGAGTCGCAACTATCGTGAAGTCAGGTGGGAGGTTTGGTGGCAGGGGCCTCGGTTTGCTGCTTTGGGAAATCCGCTCCTGGGGGCAAAATGAGCTGGGCAGCGCGGCTCACAGCGAACATTGGGGGAGAAAACTCAAGGTGGCGGTCGAGAGCTGCTGCTAGTCTGTCGCAACTGATCACAGGGTCAGCCTGGACAATTCTGGAAGCAACACTCGCTCGCTTCGAATGTTCTATGGCGAATCGCAATTGACAATGTCGGAGATCGTCGCCGCTCGGTTTTGCAGGATGTTTCCATCAGAATTGTGGCAAGAATTCATCATTCGCTATTGATAGTCGAAAATCTCTGCAGTTGCGTACCAGTCTTCCTCAGAAAAGTCGCTGTTGTACACCGTGGAATGCAGAAGCAACATGGAGACGGCGATGCTCCGAGTCTGGAGTCAAGTCTGGAGTCGCACCCGTTCGGGTAGTCCGTGCCCAGCGCCAGAAATATCCAGAAATCCAGAACCTCTGGTCACCCGACAAGCTTATCGAGCTGGCTTTTCCCCCATTGGTCAATGGCTCTCCAGAATTTATTTTTATTTTTTTTTTAGACCCCTACCAGTACCTTGACCATGCATCTCCCCGGCGTGGATTGCATCCTCCAACCACAACTCAATTCAAGCTTGATCCTGGGAGTCGAGACTGTATGGCCGACTCCTCCACGGGGAGGAACTGACCTCACTTGGAGGCGTTTCTAGGCCACTTCATCCGCAATCGCCTATTACTGAGCATCCGCACAGCGGCAGGCGCCCGGGTGCCACAGCCACCGTCCAACCGTTGCCGAGTGACTATCCGGCAAGGCGCATATGCTTAATCAAGGGCCAAATGTAATGGAATTAGTTTATCAGATCGGCTATCCGACACAGATCCGTGGAACGGTGCGAATGCCGTGGGAGCGCCGTGTGACCACCAGAGTCTGAAGGATCCCCGTTTGAGTGCTCCAGACTGATGAACTGTCAAGGCTTATGAATCCTCTCCACAGAATCCACACCCGTGGGATACTCTTTTAGGCAAGTTATGAGCCGTTCTCCTGTCGATCCTAGAGTCAATCGTTGATTGGACTGTTGGGCACTGTTTCCCCTACATATCCACGTTTCACCTTCCATGCACCCTGTCTTCGTCACGAGGCCCTGTGGACGCCCTGATCCGCCAATATACCATTGATCGCCATTTCCGGGGCTGTCACACCGATTGACACTGAATGTCATAGGTGACACACCCATGCTTTTGCCGCTGTACGCGATGAGACCCCCAAGATCGTACCGAATCCCATGCTTGGAAATAAGCACCCCGTTCTAGACGAACCCATCAGTGGCGCAATCAATGCTTAGATTCTGCAACCCAGATTCGACCCCTGTATCACCTTGTGCAGCGCGCAAGGGCCGGACATTCCGCTTTCGGCTTTTATGCCGTACGAGGCACGTACATGTGTGGGATCCTCAGGCTCGGAGGAATGCACGAAAGTACCATATGAATCGCTCCGACGGCCTAAGTGCCGATCATCAGCTAATCATTGACGAACTGATCGGGAATTCTCTAAGCTGCATTCCCGGATATCAGATCTCACATTCGACATGCTGATTCATCTGTCTCGGTTCCCTCTCTAATCACCAAGCCGAATGTGTCAGATCTGTACCTGGCGCCAACTAACCATGAATAATCTTCGAAACTTTGCGCAAGTACAACGCATATTCGGCCTGCGGGTTTCCAGGCGTGTGACTAGGGATTTCTACTTCTTTTGCTGATCTTCTTTCTTTATCCTTTAGGCGATTGCAGGACACACTCGTCCCAGGGCCGCGCCAAGGTACAACTCCACCACAGAGTAATCAGTAACTGCGACATTCTATTTACCAACCTGCATCACAGATGACGAGTTCGGCCCTTATCTTTACCCAGCATCGACTTTTCTAACCGCCTTTAGCAAGCTGGGTGCACGTACTTCCAGGAATCGATTGCAATTGCGGAAGCTGAATTGGCAGCGTGGGAGGCTCAAAGTCCGGACAATCATCTATCATGTGATAAACTCTCGATACCCCGAGAGAGTGCGATCTGACCCCATCCTCTGTAAGGCAGACATCAAGATAAAAGCCGCCGCAGCACGAGTCGCAGAGACGAATGGCAAGAGAGCTGGTCGCGAAAAGACTGAGGCTTAAGATCTAGCAACAACAAAAAAAGCTGCTAGGCCCTCTAGGAGCCAGTATCTATAGTCAAAGTAGATCCATTCCGCTCCTTGCCTCCTTCAAATTTCAAGCCCTCACAACCATTCTTTTCGATCAAGAAAAAGAGCTTCATAGCCCGGGGTGTGGACAGACCCAAGATCCAGGTGAGTATTAGCTATGTTTCTCTTATTAACTATTTAGGCGACTTTATAGCCAAGGTCTAAGCGTGAGTATCCTCAAAATAGCAGAAACAGAGCGTAAACTGGTGGGAAGATGGAGTAGTCGGGTGACAGGGTATATATAGGACCTTTTGAACGACCTGACATAGAGTAGATGAAGACGCTCCAAGTCTCCATATGCCAAATGCACACAATGAAAGGATTTAGATATTTTAGAGCTGATACGCGGGCATATCAGCCAGTTAGGTATAGATAGTTGAAGCTGCGAGCCGTGGAACCAACCCCAACACGTCGGATAGGAAGGTGCCCAGTGCCACCCGCGCAGTCCACAAACCCTCCCCCTAAGCAAAATTGCTAGCTAGTATCGAGATGCTATCTATCATCTATCTACCTAGAACACTACCTACCTAACTAACCAAATCAAAAAAGAAAAAACCCCACCGAAATTCGCAAAAAGAACATTGAGATCTCAATCCAGCAAAATGTTATCTTCGGTCAAGACCATTAGAGCATTGCGCCGTCCGGGGTTCGAACCCGGGTCCCCACCTGTTCCAATGGATAAGAGATATAATCTTGCAGATTATTACCCTTTTGGGAAGGAGGTATCCTCACCACTAGACTAACGGCGCTTCAGTTGGTTAAAAGAGGCTTGTTTTTGTTAGAATAGTGAGATTTCAGAAAGTAAAATTTGAGGCTGGGAGCGAGACTACGGAGTATAGCTCGTTCTCGAGAGGAGTTATTGTGGTAGTGTTAATGAGGTTTTTATGCTGTGATTGTGGGACCGTACTTTCTATAAAAATCACCGAAAAATCATTCTAAAATTATGTATAGGTTGTTTTGTGGCAAGATATGCAAGATATGCTTGATAGATGCTTGTGTTTCCTCTGATTATCTTAAATATATTTCAGCCAAAGGCCAATATTTTCACAGGAAAAGAAAGCGCGGCCGGCTTAATCAAGCAACTAACAGCCTTGGAAGGCGGATGACCCAAAACTTAAAAAGCAACTAAATGGGTTACGTGCCCTGAATGAAAACAAGACTCTTTTAACCAACCGAAGCGCCGTTATCGTATAGAGTGATGGACTACGAGTAGAGCTTCTGCGCTTTGCGATGCTTCAAGCTAGGTAGTCAACCCTAATACGATAGGTAGTCGAGTTAAATAACTGGGATCTCAGAGACACTGCGTTCAGCACTGGGGAAATGAGGTTTACTAGGTGGTGTAAATGCACTGCGTTCTTTAGTTCCTAGGAACTCGCTAAATAGACACTCCGACCGACTGTTCGCTCTATGTCTAGATTTGATCACTATTATACCCTGCGAAGTGAACATCGCACCCAACTATGGTAAATGACTCAGATACCAAGAGTCCGAGTCCGCGCCTGCCTCAGCCACCTGAAATACTGCCATCCCTCCCTCATCAGACTAAGGTCAACTCCATTGAGCCCCGTGAGATACCGCATCGCAGCAAGCATAATCTCCATCCGGTCTCGATCCCGATCACACGCTGCCGCAGCAGTGAAATTTACCCACGCGTAGAGCTCAGGTGCGCATTGCACCCATGGAATCGGATCGATCTTCAGTAGCGTTTCCTTTAATGTTTCAAGGGCGACATAGTACGGGCTAGCTGAAGCTATTGATTCGCCTACCTGGGTGGCGGTGTTGGTGGACTCTATCGAGTTGTTGTTGACAATGCCCCAAAAGACATGCACGGATAAATAGCAGCACGTCGTGGCTTTTTCCATAGTTGTGTCTTCGTAGGCAGAAACCCATGGAACTTCAGGCAGGAGACTGCCCACGGTGTTCACTCGTTGTTGTTGGTCGGTTTGCTCCGCGTAAGCTAGTTCTTCGGAAGGCGCCCTTGATGGCGGTTCTTCGTGGACGATAACATCGTAGAGCTTTTGCATTTCCAACATAACATAACTCGTCGGCGGCCAGTGCTTTCTATAGCCCGTGCGAGTATTGCTGCTATTGCTGGTGGCGTCATTCGCCGATCGTGCTAGTATCCTCTTCAATAAAGTTGATGGCTGGATGTCGTGAAACAGAAGTAGAGGGAGGACGGCCCCGTCTGGAAGACTCGACGACACTATCGAGGTGATGTCTCTATCCAGAAAGACAGAGAAACATATGAGTGTTCTGAAGTTTGGACTATTAGCACTGGCACATTGGTACTGGTTAACAGGAGGGGCGCTGGCTTACTCGTTGAAAAATGCGGTCAGGTACTTGAAGTCCGGCCCTTCGTTTTGCGAGATATGTAGAATCCGCGCTAGTCCCTGGATGTGTACCAACGCGCTGTCTATTTCGTTCGAGGCCATCTAGAATATTGAATCGAGTCAGTAGATGTTTCATTCTCAAAGCAAATTCCGGCCACCTCACGGTAAAGTAACTTAATGCAAGTATTGCAGCTACCAACTCATAGGTCGGCTGGAAGTCTGGCTGCGCGAGTTGCTCACGGATTATCTTGACTGCCTGTAGATGATGGAACGTGGTTCTGCGACTAAGGTCGTTGGAGACATTCTGACGAGAATCTAGGTAGGCCGAAGCGCAAAACAGAGTGCTGTGCAGTAGACATGGGTTCGATATGGCCCGGCGGACCCACTCGGTATGAACGTATATCGAAAGACTGTTCGGTAATGCGGCAGCAGTGGGTAGAATGGAGCAAACTGAAGGGAGTAAGATTTTAGATACGCCATGACCATGCCTAGCTGGTTCGATCGAGGACCTGACCGGCCGTAGAAAGATAGAATGATAGCTTACAATGGAAAAGCAACTCCGGAACCTTGTCCGAGTCCGGAATAGAGAAATCGAAAGTTATTGCTGGCCCTAACAGGACCCTTGGGGAAACGGTGGACTGGGGAAGCGCCAAAGCCCTAGTGCTTATCCGATGAGTGATCTGAAATGAAACACAATTAAGCGCTCCACCTACCTGGCACAGTTGAGCAGGCCGTAATATGCCTCGTAGATATCCAATCCGTCTGACGCGCTATCTGGATATCCTTCAATATCCAATGGAGCGGTTGCCCAGGACTGAACAGTCAGAGGGGCACCCATACTAGCAGGTGCAGGGTAAGCGCATAAAACGCCGGATCTAAAATGCAGAGGCGTCGGTTTAGCCGCGGGTGTCTGCAAGCGAAAGTTTAATGGGCCGCCTACTTCTCACACCGTGAGCAACCTGGTAAGCCTCGATCACACCGCCGCTTTACCGTCCTACATCTATCGCAGGCACTCGGTCCCCTCCCCGCGAGCGGTGGTGTCGGTTCGCTTGTTACCTGGCGGTTAGACACAGAAGGGAGCGAACATTCCATGTATGAACACTGTCGAGAGGATCCAGGCCTTGGCAGTCAGCGTCAAATCATCAAGGAAGTTCTCGTATTGACCCTACCTACTACATCGTGAACAGGCTGGAAGAAGCCGATCGCACTTCCGCCGACCAGTCGCACAACTTATACAAGCGCTCAGTGCGCGTTCCGCTGCTATCTCGGGACTTGCCATTGTTAGATTTGTTACCCATCAAGCGACTGCAGCCCTGCGGGATCTTGGTTTCGGGGTCTGGCATGGGACATCCGAAGTAAATAAGGATTGTTCGGGGAAATGAAAAGAGGCTTAGACCCCGATGCGCAAAACCCCGAGAACGCAAGACGCCAAGGGCAAAGCTAGTACTCTTGCAGAGCTTGACCTGAGCTTCATGATTCAAATTCCAGCCTCAGAGCGGAAAAATCCTCCGGATAGACTCACCGTGTGCACAGTAAACCATGAGTGAGAAAGCTGCAGACGTGAGGTGGCGCAATACACTTTCCAGTCTAGGGTTAGTCTGACGCCACAAGCCGGAGAGCGGGCTGGCGCAATTAAATGCACTTTCCGAATCTGTGCTGGTGTCCAAGATCAGCCCTGGTCTTGGATGTGACTAAGAAGCGATCGAGAGATCATTGGTCGCGCGCACTTCGACAGGGCTGAGAAAGGTAGGGATTTCAGGATTCCTTGTTATTCAAATAGTGGGTTGCTTCCATGAAGAGCTCCTTCCCCGCCGACGAGCAGGCCTCGTCAAACCACAGAATCGACCTCAACACAACGTGAAGTTCGCTCCAACTGGAGACTGACATAGCGGCAGCAACCCGTCTAAGCTCATGGACGAACCAGACTCTTTCATGGGATCCTGTTGATGCGATTCCACCGAGGACCACGCACCAACAGTATACCCTGAGAACTTCCAATCTCGCCACAGTTGACGGGGAAACTAAACTTGAGGTACTATACTTGTACGCTTGCAGCGCAATCTGCAGCATCCTTGCGGCGTCAACCAGCGGGGTTGTCTCAGCCGGAAGTGGGAATACAACACCGACACCGAGAACCATCAACGCGAGGCGGCAAGGTTCATACATCGGGCAGACACCATTTATGACCGGGCCAATCTCATTCACAGGAGGCAGCGACATGATCTGCCATTGGAGGAGGTTGCGGTGGTCGCAGATGGCCGCGAGGTTCATCGCTAGGGCAGAGCCTTGCTGGTAAGCATCGACAATGGATACGTATGCGCGCGCAGCGCAGAAAACGCTGTGCATCTCCTCCGTCATCTGCAGGCTACGCAGGATGTCGGGTCCGAAGTCGATGGTATGTTCCTGGATGTTGATCGTGTCCTGTAGCGTCGGCGGTGCTACACTTTGTAAAGGAACAAATGGGAAGAACGGGCGTGTTAAGCTTCGGCTTGCGGATAAGATACCCGAACTATGCACACACAGACGGTTAGTGGAGTGGTGGATTGCGCCGCGGCGAATATGGTACGTACAATGATATGATGGCTGCCAGACCAGGCAGGTCTATCTTATGCAGTCCACCTCTCAGCTCCACAAGCCTGAGTAGCCCCGCCTGATGTATTGGGTTCGGAGACAGCCGTCCATAAATGTCAAGCCACTGCAGGCTACGCAAAATAGGCTGAAATGGCGAATGTTTGATGTCTCGCTCATTAGGGCTATCGTTGTTGGCTAAGCAAAGTACTGAGAGAATGACTTCATCTGACACCGCCAGAGTAAGGTCCTGGAGGGTCGCGTTGATCTTGGAGATGGAATCGATCTGTGACAAGACCATGGTCTTTGAGTCTGTAGCACTGAACTGCCGCTGGTTCGTTGAAACACGAGTTCTCCGATGGGAAAGTGACCCAAATAGCATGGCGCTGTGCAGAGCTGGATGAGAGCGAGAATTAGAGAACCAGGCCTGGACACCTGGATGGTTACTTCCAGCTCCACTAGGCATGAGTCCAGGCCAGAGGACCGAGAGAGCTGACGACGGTTAGAACGAGGGGTGGGACGAGCGAGGGCTGTTGGCGTACAATATTTGTTGCTGACACTGACAGTCTCCATATATATTGGCGTGGACACATATGTTTGGAAGGGGTCCAGGGTGCTAGGGCTAGGACGATTGGCCGGCGTGGGGGCTGGAGGGGGCTGGTGAGTTAACACCAACTGGCCCGGGTTGTCGAGGCCTCCCTGTGCAATGTCGTCGCCATCTGAATCAACACCATCTGCAGGCTCCAGCTGACCCCTTCTACCCTGTTGCCAAGTCCATTTTCCGGCATGCGATCTCACTTCCCGGATAACACCTGAGTGGCTCGGATCTGAGGCCGGATCAACGATGATGA